CATAAATAAAATAAATTAAAAAAAAATAATAATAATACTAATAAACTCCCTACATAAAGAGTGGTCTTCAGGACTCAGAAAAGAAGGGACTTCTTTTTTGCATGGTACTGTGGATTTAACCCAGGGCCTTCACAGAGTTACATCCCCAGCACGTATGTTATTTTTTATTTATTTTTTAGCGGAACCGGGGATTGAAATCAGGCCTTTGCGCTTGCCAGGCAAGTGCTTATTCTATTGAGCCATCTCCCTGGCCCTATTTTTTATGGCACCAGGGATCAAACTCAGGATCTGCGCTTGCTAGGCAAGCACTTATTCCACTGAGCTATCTTCTTGGCCCTAGTATTTTATTTTTTATTTTGAGACAGAATTCTGTTTATTGTTTTTGTTCTAGGAATCAAACTCAAGACCTTTGTACTTGGCACTGTACCACTGAGCTATATCCACAGTCCCCAAATTATCTTTGAAATCTCTTTCTTTTTAAAAATGTTTAGCACCAAATTATTCTAGAAATTATTTGCTCTTTAGTCTTTCCCCATTTTTTTTCTAAATTTTATTTTATTTAAAAAGTATTTATTTATTATTTATTTATTTAGTGTGTGTGCGGCCAGCTGAGCCCACCAAGGGCAGGGCTGGCTGGCATGTGGTGCTCGGGGATTGAACCAAGGTCCCTGTGTTTTGCTTAGCTTAGCTTGTACTAAGTAGGTGCTTTAGACCACTGAGCCATCTCACCAGCCCCAACATTTTTTTTTTTGCGGAACTGGGGACTGAACTCAGGCCCCTGTGCTTGCTAGACAAGTACTTATTCTACTGAGCTCTCTCCCTAGCTCCATCTTTCCCCATTTCAATGCCCCGCCTGGACAATACAAACAATTGAGAGGTGGCGAGAGCTGTACTTCAGTGCTTTATACATGATCACCTACCTCCCAGACTAGTACACATTTGTTAGTTTTCTTCACAGCTTCCTCATCAGATTCCTCATCATCTGGAAAAGATAATATAGCTAAATTTTCAGAGAAGAAACTATAGATCTAGGTTCTAAACAAATAGTAATCAAGTCTACCCAAATTCTTGTAAATATTATTACCTTTTCCCATGTGTTGGAATATGTTTTTTTTCCTGTTAATCTTTATTTTCCCCATATTAGACTGGAAGCTCCAAATAGGCAGGGACATTAATTCAACAAACATTTACTGAGCACCTACTATGAGTCAGGAGCTATGCTAGATACTGAGAATAAGGAAATAAAAGACAAGCAGTCAATAATAAAAACTTTTTCTTAAGCACCTGGGAGCCAGGCTTCACATGCTAACATAAGAGTATTTTAAAGTACTTTTTAGCCTAATGGAGGAGGGGAAAAAAAAATAATTTTTTTTTTTGCCATTGTGGACTGAACTCAGGGTCTAGTGCACTGCTAGGCAAGCAAGCTCTTTGAGCTATATCCTTTTGAGAGAGGGTCTCAATGAATTGCCCAAGATGACTTTTGTGTGTGTGTGTGTGTGTGTGTGTGGAACTGGAGATTGAACTCAGGCCCTTCCGCTTGCCAGGCAAGCACTTATTCTACTGAGCTACCTCCCTGGCCCCCAAGCTGACTTTAAACTTGCAGTATGCTAGCCTGATTCTCCACCTAAGCCTCCCAAGTAGCTAGGATTACAGTAGCGTGGTAGCATATGACCCACTGAAAATGTTTTAATGCTTACAAAAGAAAGTATATTAAGTACCCTGACAACAAAAGTATGACAAAAAGACCACGATGAACTTTTTAAAATGGCTCTCTACCAGGCAGAGCAGTACATCTGTATGGTTGCAGGTTACTTGCTATTTTGGGGGTGTTTTTTTGACACAAGGTCTTCACATGTGGTTCAGGCTGGCCTCAAGCAGCAATCCTCTTGCCTTAGCCTCCTGAGTGCTAGGATTACTGGTGTGTGCTACCATGCCTGGCTAGCTCCAAGCATTGCAGTTACAGGGCTGTCACCCTGACTAGCAGTCTCAACTGAGGAATAAAGGTAGGGCTTCTGAAGCCTAAGAGTTGGAGATGAGCCTGGGCAATATACCAATACCTTATCTCAAAAACAAAGCAAAAAACTCAGAAGGAATAAGCAATGCTTTTTGCAGATGTTAAATGCAAACCTAATCTTTAAAGATAGGAATAACAAATATCAACAAAACTATGATGGCCAGAAAAATGTCATATAAGAGACTGAGGCTAGAATATATCAAGTTTGTTGTTGTTGTTTTTAAATGTGTTTGGTACAGGGTTTCACTAGATAGCTTAGATTCATAGTGATCCTCCTGCTGCTTACAGCCTCCTTCGTGCTAAGATTATGTGTGTGCAACCACACCCAGTCTCAGTGCACCCTGGGGTGGGGCGGGCACAGCACTACATGTGGTACTGGGGGTTGAACCCCCAGTCCCTGTGCTTGCCTAAGCAGGTACTTAGTCCACTGAGCTATCTTGCCGACCTCGAAGATATCAAGTTTAAGGGTCAGCATGGACACTGTAGCAAGACCTTGCCTCAAAATAAAATAGACATGTAGGTCAATAGTAAAGTGCTTACCTAACATGAAGCTCTAGGTTTGATCCTTAGCACCACAAAAAAGAGACAGAGAATTGAGCTAAACAATTTTTTTTTGTAGGGCTAGGAATTAAACCTGGGATCTTTCATGTGTTATGACTGGTAGGAACTTCTCTACCAGTCATAACCCCATCTTGCAAAGTCTACAAAGTACTTTTTTCTTGATCAAAGAAGAAAGTTTTTTAATCTGAGAATCTTTGTCTTTAATCCTTAAAAAAAAATTAAATAAGGGCTGGCCAAAAAGCTCAGCAGACTAATATGCCTGTTTAGACAGCTACAGGGACCTGGGTTCAATCCCTGGCATGCCATGCCAGCCCTGGCCCCACCTCCTGGGGTGCACTGAAACACCTGAGATGGGGCATGGTGGCAGGCAAAAATTTAAACAAATAATTATATGACAACCAGGGATTTAGCTCAGCGGTAGAGGTGTCTGCCTTGCAAGTGCAAAGTCCCAAATTCAATCCCTGGTACCACAAAAACAAAAAAAGATATACTGTACATATGAATGCACAACGTGCTCAATTTTCACAAATGTACTCATATAACTAGTATTCAGATCCATGACAGAAAGTGAGAACAGCCAATAGAAAAATAATTTGCTTTTCCTGTTTTGGAGATAGGGTCTCTCTTTGAAGCCTATGCTGACCTCAAACTCAGTGATCCTCTTGCCTCAGCCTTCTCAGTGCTGGGATTACAGGCACGTGCCATCACATTTGGCTCAAAAAAATAATTTTAACACTGATGCATATGATTGTGTAATACTGCATAAATACCTAGCAGGGTCACCATCTGAATGGGGTTTCCTAAAGTTCTTAAACTCTACTTAGTGTTAGCAGAAGTGTCACAAGAAAGGGGTAACATGAATGGATAAAGGCACTATCCCCACCTCCCACAGCCCTCCCACTTATTCCCCTCTAACCCCCATTCACCATCTCCCTTCGTGTTAGATGTCTGTTCGTCCCACTTTATCCGATGCAGCATAAGACGCTTAAATTTCTTCTGGGCCTTGGGGCCTGGAAACAGAGAAGGAGAATTTTGCCACAGCTCTAGAAGATATTGGGGTAGAAAGGACCTCTGAGTTTATCTAATGATCAGACAGTGTGGCAGTTGAAGCAATCCCAGGAACCACTTTTGTGGCCTTTTACTCTAACAAATACATAACAGAGCCCAAGATATTATATGTTATCTAAGTACTGCTCTGAAATATACTCTATATACCCTTCTCCCCATGATGCAAATCACTAAGCTTAGGGTTGTCTGGGGGCAGTCTCCCTGAACATCTTCAGACTCACCCCCTTCCACTACTACCACGTTGACATCCTTGTGCAGTACCACCACCCCTGTCAGGTACAGCTGCCCAGCATTGGCCTCAATCTTGAACTTCTTGGCTGGGTTGCTCAAATTTCGAACTCTAGAGAAGGGAAAGTTTAGTTATGTCTTCAATTTTAGCATTAGCAGCTGTCTGAAAAGAGTAGCAACTAAACAGATGAATCCAAAATGATTTTCTCCCTAAAAACAAAGGCCCTCTGAAAGCAAACAAGTCTATTTCCAGGATTTCAATCTTTCCTCAAAGTGTAGTAGTATATATCTTACATCAAATAGTAGGTAATCAAAATTTATTAAGAATGAGACAGGTATTTATTATCATCTCAAAGTACTTATAAGCTCACTGTTCCTGACCCACAAACTTTGCTTTGTAGAAGTCTACAATGTCATTACTATGTATGCATGAACATTTTCTAGAGAAAAAAAAACTATTACTTGGAATTACGCATAGTGTCCTAAAAGATCAGTGAACAGGAAGGGGACCCTTGGTAAGTACCCTTCTATAGTGTTAGCATTTTTTGTTTTGTTTTGATATAAAGAATCAAACTCAGGGCCTCTGCTTGCCAGGCACATGTCCTTATGAGCTACATCTCTGGCCCAAAGTTTTAAATTTCAATAAGCATTCACTACTTTTGTAGTCACGTACTACTTTTATGAACGAGTTAGCAGAAATAAGCAATTTAAAAAAGATATTCAACCGAAAGGAATAAAAATGAAAACATTAAACCAACACAAAAGTTGAAAGACATTTATAATGTAGAAACACATTTTGGAGCAAGAATAAAAAGATTGGGCCGGCCAGACAGATCAGAAGACTAAAGCGCCTGCTTAGGCGGAGCGCAGTGGCTGGCGTTCAATCCTTGGGTGTGCTGTGTTGGCCCCTGCCCCTGGGGTGCTGAGAGGGTGACTAAGACTGGGCGTGGTGGCACATGCCTGTAATCCCAGCGCTTGGGAGGCTGAAAACAGGAGGATCACTACCAGTCCAATCTGCATGGTGAAACCCTGTACCAAATGCATTAAAAAAAAAAAAAAAAA